GATCGCGCCACTCATCCTACACTCATCTCCATTCATACTTGGCTTAAAATACCTACTTTGTATGGTCGCCATTACATTAAAATAATTTAAAGTATGTTCTTTATTGATTTTCACCATGCTCACATATATATTTCTTCTTCCTCCTATTCTTCAAGTAAAATACACGCTGCCAACAACTTTGCTCCATGACGGTCTAAGTGCAGCTGAGTAACAGTAGAGTAGAGAACAGTCAAGTGTAGTCTGTCAGTCACAAGTCGCGAGCGTCGCGGTGTCTCGGGCCGTACTGCTCTGATCGCGCGGCTGCTGCAGTCATATCAGTCAGGCTTAATGCTGCAGTCGTATCAGTCAGGCTTAATGCTGCAGTCGTATCAGTCAGGCTTAATGCTGTGCTGCAGTCGTATCAGTCAGGCTTAATGCTGTGCTGCAGTCGTATCAGTCAGGCTTAATGCTGCAGTCGTATCAGTCAGGCTTAATGCTGCAGTCGTATCAGTCAGGCTTAATGCTGCAGTCGTATCAGTCAGGCTTAATGCTGCAGTCGTATCAGTCAGGCTTAATGCTGCAGTCGTATCAGTCAGGCTTAATGCTGCAGTCGTATCAGTCAGGCTTAATGCTGCAGTCGTATCAGTCAGGCTTAATGCTGCAGTCGTATCAGTCAGGCTTAATGCTGCAGTCGTATCAGTCAGGCTTAATGCTGCAGTCGTATCAGTCAGGCTTAATGCTGCAGTCGTATCAGTCAGGCTTAATGCTGCAGTCGTATCAGTCAGGCTGAATGCTGCAGTCGTATCAGTCAGGCTGAATGCTGCAGTCGTATCAGTCAGGCTTAATGCCGCAGTCGTATCAGTCAGGCTTAATGCTGCAGTCGTATCAGTCAGGCTTAATGCTGCAGTAGTATCAGTCAGGCTGAATGCTGCAGTCGTATCAGTCAGGCTGAATGCTGCAGTCGTATCACTCAGGCTTAATGCTGCAGTCGTATCAGTCAGGCTTAATGCTGCAGTCGCATCAGTCAGGCTTAATGCTGCAGTCGTATCAGTCAGGCTTAATGCTGCAGTCGTATCAGTCAGGCTGAATGCTGCAGTCGTATCAGTCAGGCTTAATGCCGCAGTCGTATCAGTCAGGCTTAATGCCGCAGTGGTATCAGTCAGGCTTAATGCTGCAGTCGTATCAGTCAGGCTTAATGCTGCAGTAGTATCAGTCAGGCTGAATGCTGCAGTCGTATCAGTCAGGCTTAATGATGCAGTCGTATCAGTCAGGCTGAATGCTGCAGTCGTATCAGTCAGGATGAATGCTGCAGTCGTATCAGTCAGGATGAATGCTGCAGTCGTATCAGTCAGGCTGAATGCTGCAGTCGTGTCAGTCAGGCTTAATGCTGCAGTCGTATCAGTCAGGCTGAATGCTGAAGTCGTATCAGTCAGGCTGAATGCTGCAGTCGTATCAGTCAGGCTGAATGCTTTAGTCGTATCAGTCAGGCTGAATGCTGCAGTCGTATCAGTCGGGCTGAATGCTGCAGTCGTATCAGTCAGGCTGAATGCTGCAGTTTTATCAGTCAGGCTGAATGCTACAGTCATATCAGTCAGGCTGAATGCTGCAGTCGTATCAGTCGGGCTAAATGCTGCAGTCGTATCAGTCAGGCTGAATGCTGCAGTCGTACTCCTTTTATCTATGGTATCAGTCACCGCTTAGGAATTTGACCTTTAGAACTGAATAAAACTGAATGTAAATGCATATCTGTATTCTATTGTGGGAACTTAACACTTACCACCTACTCCTTTATAAAATACCTCATAGCGCTATAGACTTACTTTGAGGAATGGGTGTTTAAAGTACACATACCAAACCGGACAGAAATAGACCCTGTCACCCCAATTTTTAGATAGAAAATTTTAGATACTTTTTATAAGTGTTCAATTAAATTACCAAAGTACACTCTCGATCCTCGGGTGTTTTTTTAGCAAATTTCCCTATAAAGTGGCTATTACCGCAGTAGTAGGCACGTAATACGTAAACTCGGGACTGATATATTTATTATTTTATTGTCCCCGGAGGTACAAAAACACGATTAATTCAAATTGTTATGCATGTCGATTGAACGTGATAACTTGAGTATTTTTTTCAGATTTTGATGAAATTTAGCTTGAAGGGCGGAATAAACTTAAATGAGTTCGTGAACCAGCATGATCCTAGAGTCTTTGGTGGACCCGTGGGAACTGAGTTTTAAGGAGTATTGGGTTTTCTCATTTTTGACCTTCAAAACATAAAATATCCCAATTTCTCCTTGAACAGTTTTAAAGAGCTTAGAAAACAAATTATTTAGTATTTTTAAATATTTTTGTTACGGAGAATATTTAAAAACTGTAAATTAAAAACCCCCCGTTATTGTGATGGGGAACAAGTAAACTTCTGTAGTTTGCTTGGATATACCTACTTTCATAAAACTTGGTAAATGTATTTATTTTATACATAAGCTATTTATATTTTACAAAAAAGCACACTTTATTAACACCTGTAGCATCAAACCTAGGTAGCCTAGTTGTTAAGCCTAATGTTATATAAATAGATTTAATAGAAAATCCAATCAGGTAAATGTAAATTCGCTTAGTCTGCAGGTTTACTGCGGCGGGGGTATTTACTAGTAAGCCTCATACTAAAGTTAAAAATCATTAAGAGAAAAGTCTCGGGAACGTACGTACTTTAGCCAATATAATGCAAAATCTGGTTAGTTTTGGGAGCTAACCCATAATTTCTGCGTAGATTCATACATCAGCCTTGATTCATGGTATTCTCTGAAGCTTAACATTGTGCTCCTGTTTAACTATACAGTGGCTAAACGAATAATGTGAATGTACAGCTTAACATGGCCGTGAGCGAAAAAAATACACAAATGCCTTATCATCTTCCGCGGCGCTGACTTGACTGCTGAACAATAAACATACGTTACCTGAAAGGAAATTCGAAATATAGGCCTAATATAGAAACATTGTACGAACATATTCCGCAGGATACCAAAGGAACCATAGCTGAATTTGGCATCGTTAAAACTTGATCTATGTTTCTATCAATACTATTTTATTGAGCTTTCCATTTAACTTGTTAATTGACCGAGTCGACTTGACCACATCAATCTTACATAAAGTAAGTAGTTACGACAACAAAAGTAACTTTGGTAAGCACTTGCTGTATAGTTACAACAAAGATCAATCAATTGAGGTGTGATTATAATCAAGAGTGTCATTGTGTGCTCAGTCACACATTGTTGATGACTGGGTAGACACCATCGTCAATATGATTGTTTGATTGTCATATATCATTATCATGCCTTTATGCTAAGCACTGTACAACCGCGAATATGTATAAATGGGGTAATAGCTTGAAAACACTGGCAAAAAACATGTTTTTCATATATTGAGCTTACTTAAGGTGATGGGTAACACACTATCGATCTTTTCGACGATCAAGACCCCGAACCGAGCAGGGAGAAGGGAGGAGGGAGGTAAATATCAGCAAAATTTCAATCCGAACATTTCCCCGAACAAAGCCAAGACCAGACGAGTTCTACCGAGCGCGGCAAAAGGGAGTTTAGAGTGAGATGGAGAGCGTGTGTGAGTGAGAGCGCGGAGGCAGTAATAATAAATTGCAATAAAACATGAAATAACATATTACAGAATGATCATTTTAATTTCCTTTAATAGCATACGTTACCTGAAAGGGAATTCGAAATATAAAATAGAAACATTGTGTGTATCCCTTACGAACATATTCCGCAGGATCCCTTACTTAATTCGAGTAAAATTACTTAAATTAAAACTTAAATTACTTAATTCGAGTTTAATATTATTGATATCATTGATTTAACGGTTTCAACTTGTCAAATACAATTCCAACCTTGACAAAAAAAACACAAAATTACAACATAAATGCCCATAATGTATGACGGCAAAATATTACCCAACATTTATTTATTTTATCAATTAAAGAGTTTAATTGCAATATTAAATTAGAACTATCAACGCTAGCGCAGAAGGCCGCTCGGTGCGACGCTCATGACGGCGTACTAAATATACCGTGACACACTATCGTAGTACATCACGCTGTACATCGGACCGATCTTTTCTTTGATCTTTCGTAAAAGAACCGCCTCCAGAGTGCTCGTCTCCCTGCTCGGCCTGATGTCTGGATCGGTGTACCAACCCCTGACACACTATCGAACCTGCTCCCTTCGATCTCCCTTATCCTTTCTCCCTGCTCGGTTCGGGGTCTTGATCAGGAAAAAATCGATAGTGTGTCACCGTCTTTAGATAGGCTAGCCTATTTATACCAAAACGACTTTAAACACTATTATATTTATGAGCTAAGTGTATGTTGAACACTTAACAATCTGCGGGTATAAACACTACCGTGCTCGACCGTACTCGCCTTGTGCTCGCTCCGTCAAGTGGTTGATTCAGAATCGTGAAATAAAAAAATCCCTGTCACGTTTTAATATATGATGATGATGATGATGATGATGACTAGAGTGGTCATTGTGCAAATAATAAATAGCCCTTTATTAGTGCATGAATTACAATTCGACAAAAGATCAATTACTGTTATTGTTCTTGCAGATCTTGTTACTATCTAACTATCAACCTTTTCGTTAGATAACACCATAATTCATAGTCAATCATAGTTCGTCGGGTTTAGTAACAAATGGCTACTGGATCTGAAAAGAATATCACTTAAAATCAAACCAGCTATTTTCATATTTGAAGGCTAGAACGATGACCAATTTTACCCACAATTCAAGTCTTGAAGAGATGGCATATAGTCCGCTTTCTGGGCACATGGTAGTAACTACATAGATGATAAACATAACTCTCTCATCTACAAAATGATGATTGAGCTAATCATAGATGATATGACTACCAAATCATAGTTAAAGATAGGTCTAATCAAAGAAAGGAAGAGAATTCTTGGCTCAAACTCTCAATCAGAAACAGTTTTACGTGTACTTTTCTTTGTTACAGTCCCCATCATCCCCGAGTTCCTGTACGACATCCGCCACCCCAATGAGAGCAAGTTGTCCGAGTCTCTGGAGGAGGGCGTGGCTCCAACCCTCGCACCCGGAGTCACCCTCAGCCCCTTGTCGCTCAACTCTTCCGACAACCCCATGGGTAAACAATTACCTCATCAAAATACAATATCGTAGTTTAGTTGTGATTCCACCACCAATTAGTTACATTTCTTGACGATTTCTTTCACATCTTTATCTCAGTTTGATATTTTAGTTCAATAATAATGAATGGACAAAAATATTGTTTTTAGGATTGCATATGCCTCCCCAGTGTGAAATTATTCCATTAGCTAACTGTTATGTATCCTGTAGATAATGCTACGTTAAGACAGGAGTTGATGCGGCAACACCGCCACAAGGACCTGATTGAAGAGACTGTTGCTGTCGGGATCATGTTTGCATCTAAGGCCTTCGTCCAACTTCTGGCTAATCCGATTGTCGGTCCCCTCACTCACAGGTGATCCTTTGTCACTCATCTCAGATTCATAGAACGATTGGACAGGGCCATTTTATTCTTCAATAATGAAATAATAAATAATAAAACCGATAATAATGATAACAAGTCAAATTGGCTCGTTCAATTGATGAGAATGCTTTTGGACATTTACCAGGTAATTAAAGTAGTTAATTTTTCCTATTCTACTCCTTCTTCAGAGCAATTCAAAGCCATGATACCAGTACTGTCAAATATCCAGTAAAGTTAGTGTACAACATTAATACTAGGCCTACTTTTAATTTTCTATGTTTATTAATTTTATTAATTTTTGTTTCAGGATTGGATACAGCATTCCTATGTTCACTGGTTTCTTGATCATGTTTTTATCCACAATAAGTAAGTAACAGGAATATGTTCAGTCTCATTCTGTTGAAAACTATATAAACACTAATTTGCCTAATATTACATTTTATTTACTAAAGTTGAAACAAATATTGCTTTGAATACGAGAAATGTACAGTTAAATTACAATGGGTTGGTAAACAAATGTTACTACATTCGTTGAATAGCCAGTTGATGACAAATAGTACAGTCATTTTTTTAATATAACTGAAATATGCTAAATAATAAGCTAGCTAAATACTACAACCGCTTGTGTAACTGACTGACTGACTCACTAGGAATACAAATGTTTACCCACTTCTAGTGAAATTTGGCACGATTGTAGGTCTTGGTTCTCATAATTCTCAAAAGTAACAATTTCCAACTAATCCCCACATTGCCAATCCCCCCCCCCCTATTTCTTATGGGAAATAACATTAAAGTCTCCGACTTTTAATTGGTCCCAAAATAATTTTAAAACCAGAGACCCAAAATTTTGAAAGGATGTAGTAATTTATTTTTAATCAACGGTAAAATTTGCAACAGTCACATTTTCGAATGTTAACCCCCCTAAAATACTAAAGTGGCGGACATCTGAAAACGGCAAAACACGTTTTTTCTATAGGCAATAGTTGGGCTAACGGTTGGTCGTACTACTACCTACTAAAACGGACAGCACCAGCAGTCCCTCATTTTTGAGGATCTACAACTTGTTAAGAAAACTTGTTTCGTATATCTTCTCTTTTACCCGTTAGGTAGCGTTAGATTGTTCAATAATTAGCAAATTTAATGACAAAATTTGAAATATTTTACCACGTTTTGCGAGTTATATGACTATTCTATGGGCGCAAAGGAATTGAACCCGTACAAAGTTTACAGTGCTTACACCAAGACATGGATCTAAAAAGAACCACATTAATTGTGGCCTCCCCCTCATTAAATGTTTCTAATGGGTACTACGTGGGCAACGGTCTAAATCTTAGGGATATAACTGCTAGATAGTTGACAACTATTACTACTATCAGGATCTGTTTCCATTGATTTTGGCTGTTCCTGGGAACCAAACAGGGATATAGAAATTTGATATACTTGACTTCTAGCAGGGTTATTATCCTGTAATCCAAATATTAGGAGAGTGTGGTATTGTAACCCCTCCTTGCATAGAGACCCCCCATGTTTTCATGCATGAAACTTTGCACGATTTCTGATTCCCTACTGATGTAATTGGATATTCCGATCCTAAAATATGCTGTAAACGTCTAATACACGATTAACCCTTAACCGGAGGCCCCAACGAGCCAAAGGCGATTGCTGAGCATGTGGTCGTAATAGACTTAACTCACTAGACAAAGCCATCCATTACGGGTCTAACTTTATGACCGAAGTTAATCAAACGTGACCTCAAAATGTAACTATTAGATTAATAAGTTTGATTTTGTCCAAAAGCACGTGCAATATGTACCGGTAAGTGAAATTGACTATATGCAACTCATCTTATGAGTGTTTGATGTTTAGTTTTTGCGTTTGGACGGAGCTACACTGTACTGTTCGTCGCCAGGGCGCTGCAAGGAATTGGATCGTCTTGCTCTAGTGTATCAGGTTTGGCCAACATTCTCTACTTCAAATACTTTAATACTTTTCAATGAAATGGCGACCATAAGCCAAGTATGAATGGAGATGAGTGTAGGATGAGTGGCGCGATCTTGTAGTCTTGTTAGTGACTAAATAAATACAGTATTTAGAAACCATATTTTATATGTCCTTCTGTCAATCAGTTTCATTTGACACATTAACTAGCAGAGTTACCTTCCTTCGTACGGGATTCACTTATACAATATTGCCGATGCCTCATTTTCGACGGTGAGAGGATGCAAAAGGAGACAATCTGGCTCTTTAGATGTATTTTAATACTATACAATATACCATATATTATATGACATAGCTACACATCTACTTTTGATTAAATAAAATTTATATAAAAAGAGTTTGTTTCTATAGCTTAGTTTGAAAGGTATTTTAATTAAAATTAGGATAAGTAGTTACAAGGATACTGTATAGGCCTAGTCGTTGATTTGATGCACGTATCAAAATACTGTAATGTAACTGAATGTTTAATCTTTCAAGATAGGTAATCCTACACCGACTTATTTAACTTGTGCATTGAAACCCCAACCTGTTTTTGAAGTCAATTGGTAGAAAATTATTTTACTACATAGATAGATAGATAGAAAGGAAAATAATACAAAATGTTCGCTCGCTTTTACTCTATTACATTGTAACGCCAAAAAAGTATTCAATAAAGTTGGTATTTATTTTTATTTTAAAGAAATTATAATTAGGGCAAAAAGGGGTAAGTTTATAGAATTAACTTTGCTTCGTTTTAAATGAATGGGGTTTTAATCTTTGAACTGATTGGTGTAGATTCAATGCGCTAAAACCAGAGATAGAATTAATTGTCATGCGAGCTATTTCAAACAAAACGCAAATTGAAGCTTTGTTTTGTTTAATTGGCTGTCCTGTGCAGATGTTTAGTAATTTATCAAAACTTTCTTCTCTAATGTTATTTGCAGTTTTCAAGATTTTGAAAATTACTTCCTGATTTTCATTTGCGTTTTGTTAAAAGTTTATTTTTAAATTTAAAATTAAATTTCCCGGATTGTTTTACATTGGTTGATTGGTATTTACGAGTAAAAGGTTCAATACTGATGCAAGTGTTCTTATATGTGTTCTCCATTCAAATATGGGTTATAAGATGACTTAGCTACGTTAGTATCTCACGGAGTGATTTTATGATTTGTATTTTATTGTACATTTCCACAATTCTTGGAAATGCATATTATTCATTGTCGTGATCAGTAGACCCTAATGTGCTTTTTCTGACTACCCTTCTGTCCAGGGAATTTTGCTTCTTGGTCCCCCTTTTACGCATTTAGTCAAAAAATAGAGGTCGTCTAGTGGTCTAAAAATCTACCAAAAATGTGTAATGTATAGACTTCTCTATCCCCCCACACAGTAAACAAAGCATGTGATTGGGATTTCTTCCATTTGTTTTTTCGTCACCAGCATGGCAACCCATAAGGCTCATGTCAATTTTTTCTTAATTTTAAATTCATTTTTGTGCTTATTTTTTTGCCTATTTTAATTCATAAAGGGATTCTGCACATCTACAGCAGAATATTTTTTAATAGTATACGCAGATTTTCCCTGCGATATTTGTACACGAGCTGAGGAAAAAGGTTTTAAAGAAACATGCTTGCCAATTAATTATATACCTAGATTGATGATGGAGAAAGATGTAGGTAGATACTGGGTAAAAAACATTAGATTAGGCTACCTAGTTAATTTAAAAGGTGCAAGCTATTTGTCTCTGCTTTCATAATCTCTCGTCAATATTCAGATTCAGGGCACTATGAAGAAAGAGCACATATCACAGATAATTTAAGTTCCACATGTTTTAATATCTGGTGTTTAAGATTGCTGTTTTGCCTGTAGGGATGGGAATGCTGGCTGAACGCTACCCTGATGACAAGGAGAGAGGTAACGCCATGGGCATCGCTCTAGGTGGCCTTGCCCTGGGAGTGCTGATTGGACCCCCATTTGGAGGATTCATGTATGAATTTGTCGGGAAAACTGCACCATTTCTCATTTTGTCTGCACTTGCACTAGGAGATGGAAGTTAGTTGTTTTTTAATTAACATTTTGGCTTTGTATCTTGAGTGAATGGAGTTTAAAAGTATTTTGAGGTGAAAATGTTTAGAATGTAGCACTAACTAATTCCCTAAATGTTGATATTGAAAGTTGGTAAAAGTTGTTCCTTATGTGACTCATTGACTATCAGAAACATATAAGCACAACCATAATGCATCAGTAGTACTATAATTGAGTTACGTTTCTTTTCATAAAAATCAAGTCATTGATTTTTATCTTATATATAAGGTTATATATATATGATTATATATAAGGTTATCTATATATAATCACTAGCAGAGTACCCGTCCTTCGTACGGGGTTGGAAGATAAGTATAAAATGCTTATTGCAGTTATACTCAAGCTTTGCGTTTGCAATAAGGGAGGACACAGTTTGATACAATTTGCTTTTTTAAATTTACAGTATTTTATAGTATTACACATCTACCATAGCTATAATGTTCTACCACTTCACCTAAACAATAGAGAAAAATAAATGATCAACAATTCGCAAAATATCACAAATTATTCATGAAATGAAAAACATAAACATAACTGTAAACAATCCTACTTTGACTGTTCTCATTGTGAATCACAGTTTTTTGTTGCTGCTTAGTTCAAATTAGCTGTTTTCATAAATGCAAAAAAATATAGTGCTGCACCCTGTTGGTAAATCTTATAACTTTTACTTTCTCCCCCTATACCATAGTATATGGAGAAAGTATTGTTTTCGTCAAAATTTTCGAGTTTGAGTTTTGAGTGGATATATTCGTTTTAGGTCCTCCTGGACCCAAAAAAGTGGTTTTCGAAGTGATGTCTGTGTGTGTGTGTGTGTGTGTGTGTGTGTGTGTGTGTGTGTGTGTGTGTGTGTCTGTGTGTCTGGATGTGTACAGAGCTAGAGACTACACCTGTGGTCCGATTTCGATGAAATTTGGTTTGTAGGTTCTAATCTATGGTATCTCCAGGCGTTTTTTTCATTTTTTTGAAATTTTTATTTTTAATGGGGATTTTCCCATAAAAACCCATAAAAAACTGGAAAAATCGGATTTTCTCAAAAATGGCCCGAACGATTTTGATAAAAATTTAGTATGTTGTAGCCCTTTAAATTCTGAATAAAATAGTACAAATCCCATATCTGTAAAAATTACGGTTCAAAAGTTATGGTCAAATATGTGATTTTCCCATAAAAACCCCATAAAATAACGAAAAAAAGGATTTTAGAAAAATACGGTTTTGATTTAACATAGTATGTTATAGTCCTTACAATTTTGATAGTTTATTTTTTATTTTTTAGACATTTTTATTTTTAATAGGGATTTTCCCATAAAACCCCATAAAAAAACGGAAAAATAGGATTTTCCCAAAAATGGCCTGAACGATTTTGATAAAAATTTAGTATGTCATAGTCCTTTATATTCTGAACAAAATGGTACAAATCCCATTTCTGGAAAAATTACGGTTTAAAAGTTATTGTAAATTATGTCATTTTCCCATAAAACCCCCATTAAATAACAGAAAAATTGGATTTTCCCAAAAATGGCCCGAACAATTTTGATCAAAATTTAGCATGTTATATTCCTTTAAATTCTGAACAAAATTGTACAAATCCCATTTCCGTATATTTACTCTCACCGCTTACACATGATAAAGGTTGTTGACAAACTTATGGGAGAAAGTATGTGTCAGAATGCTGATACCGTTTATTTAATGCTTTTTCATATTATAGAATTAACTTCTTTAGTTGAAACAGCTGACTAAATTCTTTAATTCCCTTTAAATATGAATACTCTTAAGGTTAACATGGGGAATTACAGAGCCACTGGGGCGGAGCCCGAAAGGATTTTTGAGATAAGAATATGCCTATATGTTAATCGGGAATGTAAGCTATCATCATGCCAAATTTCAGCCCAATCTGTCCAGTGGTTTATGCGTGATTGAACTTCAAACACACAAACAAACAAACAAACAAACAAACAAACAAACACACAAACTTTTACATTTATAATTATTACTAGCTGTACCCGCAGGCTTTGCCCCGTTTAACTTCATAAGTATTCGCATGGCTCATTCACGTCCTGGTTGAAGTTCGTTCGCTACGCTCACTCACCTTTAGGTTGGAGCTCGTTCGCTGCGCTCACTTGCCTTCAGGTTAGCTCGTTCGCTACGCTAACTCGCGTCCAGGTTGAAGTTCGTTCGCTACGCTCACTCACCTTTTGGTTGGAAATTAGCTGTTGTCATAAATAAAAAAAAATATATAGTGCTGCACCCTGTTGGTAATCCTTGTAACTTTGATGCTATTGAACATCAAAGAACAGAACCAACTTGTTTAATTGAAACAGCTGTTAAGATTCATTAATTCCTTTTAAATATGAAAAATCATAAGGTTAACATGGGGAACTACAGAGCCACTGGGGCGGAGCCCGAAAAGATTTTTGAGATAAGAATATGCTTTAATGTTAATCGGGAATGTGAGCTATCATCATGCCAAATTTCAGCCCAATCCGTCCAGTAGTATATGCGTGATTGAGCAACACACACACACACAAACACACACACAAACTCACAAACTTTGAGATTTATAATATTAGTAAGATATATAGTGCTGCACCCTGTTGGTAATCCTTGTAACTTTGATGCTATTGAACATCAAAGAACAGAACCAACTTGTTTAATTGAAACAGCTGTTAAGATTCATTAATTCCTTTTAAATATGAAAAATCATAAGGTTAACATGGGGAACTACAGAGCCACTGGGGCGGAGCCCGAAAAGATTTTTGAGATAAGAATATGCTTTAATGTTAATCGGGAATGTGAGCTATCATCATGCCAAATTTCAGCCCAATCTGTCCAGTGGTTTATGCGTGATTGAACTTCAAACACACAAACAAACAAACAAACAAACAAACAAACAAACACACAAACTTTTACATTTATAATTATTACTAGCTGTACCCGCAGGCTTTGCCCCGTTTAACTTCATAAGTATTCGCATGGCTCATTCACGTCCTGGTTGAAGTTCGTTCGCTACGCTCACTCACCTTTAGGTTGGAGCTCGTTCGCTGCGCTCACTTGCCTTCAGGTTAGCTCGTTCGCTACGCTAACTCGCGTCCAGGTTGAAGTTCGTTCGCTACGCTCACTCACCTTTTGGTTGGAAATTAGCTGTTGTCATAAATAAAAAAAAATATATAGTGCTGCACCCTGTTGGTAATCCTTGTAACTTTGATGCTATTGAACATCAAAGAACAGAACCAACTTGTTTAATTGAAACAGCTGTTAAGATTCATTAATTCCTTTTAAATATGAAAAATCATAAGGTTAACATGGGGAACTACAGAGCCACTGGGGCGGAGCCCGAAAAGATTTTTGAGATAAGAATATGCTTTAATGTTAATCGGGAATGTGAGCTATCATCATGCCAAATTTCAGCCCAATCCGTCCAGTAGTATATGCGTGATTGAGCAACACACACACACACAAACACACACACAAACTCACAAACTTTGAGATTTATAATATTAGTAAGATATATAGTGCTGCACCCTGTTGGTAATCCTTGTAACTTTGATGCTATTGAACATCAAAGAACAGAACCAACTTGTTTAATTGAAACAGCTGTTAAGATTCATTAATTCCTTTTAAATATGAAAAATCATAAGGTTAACATGGGGAACTACAGAGCCACTGGGGCGGAGCCCGAAAAGATTTTTGAGATAAGAATATGCTTTAATGTTAATCGGGAATGTGAGCTATCATCATGCCAAATTTCAGCCCAATCCGTCCAGTAGTATATGCGTGATTGAGCAACACACACACACACAAACACACACACAAACTCACAAACTTTGAGATTTATAATATTAGTAAGATATGTCTCGGGCAATGAAACTTATTGACTGGTCTTCAACAAGTTCAGCCAATTTCATCTGAGATTCATTGTGGATCCGTGTAACAATGTTACTAACTACAGTGTCCCTACCTCAAAGACAGGCCAATGAAAAAGTGACGGCTTAGAAAAACTCAGATATTAGAAAAAACGTTTTTTTGTTGAATCATCATTGTGGTTTTATAAACATTGCTAATGTGTTGCAGTCCTGCAGTTTCTACTGCTGCAGCCAGCAGTGACGAAGGCTGAAGTGGAGCTTCCTTCTCTGAAGTCCCTTGTCACTACTGCTTCAGCCAGGAGTGACGAAGGCTGAAGTGGAGCTTCCTCCTCTGAAGTCCCTGGTCACTCACCCCTACATCATCATTGGGGTTTTGTAATTATGACTGTGGTGTTGTTGCTACTGCTGCAGCCAGGAGTGGCGAAGGCGGAAGTGGAGCTTCCTTCTCTGAAGTCCCTGGTCACTCAGCCCTACATCATCATTGGGGTTTTGTAATTATGACTGTGGTGTTGTTGCTACTGCTGCAGCCAGGAGTGGCGAAGGCGGAAGTGGAGCTTCCTTCTCTGAAGTCCCTGGTCACTCACCCCTACATCATCATTGGGGTTTTGTAATTATTACTGTGGTGTTGCAGTTGCAGTGCTGCAGTTGCTACTGCTGCAGCCAGGAGTGGTGAAGGATGAAGTGGGGCCTCCTTCTCTGTCGTTCCTAGTCACTGACCCCTACATCATCATTGTGGTTTTGTAATTATTACTGTGGTGTTGCAGTCCTGCAGTTGCTACTGCTGCAGCCAGGAGTGGTGAAGGCTGAAGTGGAGCCTCCTTCTCTTAAGTCCCTGGTCACTGACCCCTACATCATCATTGCTGCTGGTAACATTTACAATCTAATCATGTTTACTAAATTCTTAAGTTTGACCAGTTGAATATCGGTCCATTTTGTAATTCCAATTACAAAAAGATCATACTAAAATTATAAAGTAGTCATAAAAAGTTTGTATAAAGAGCCCATTTATGCACCGATACTTATGAAACTTTACACAGTGTATCAAAATTAGGTTTACTAATCTTTTGTGAAAATAAATTTTTTTTAGTAGGTAGTCTATGAACAAATCAGCTGCTTATTTAAAATGTTACCAATTTATAACAGTTACTTTCCTAAGTTATTGAGCGGAGCGAGCGAAGCTCTTATACATCGACTTTTATGCATTTCGTAATACGCAAACTCCTCCTAGACGGCTGAAGCAATCGTTTTCAAATTTCACATGGTGATAAAGACCATATTGGTGAGTGCTAACATCTATATGGCGTTAAAAAAGTCTTTCAGGAATCTGCCCTGGGTGTCAAAGTTTCAATGTAATCCTTATGGAAGCAGTATTTGACACATAAACAAAGACATATGATCAGCTGTTGACTTTTGAATGCAGTAGATAAAAAATTAGCTGATAGCATTATTCCACAGATATTAGAACATTAACGGTATGGATCATAAATATAATCAAATGACGACACTAGCTTGAGGTCCGTGACGTAGGAAGTGGTCAAGGAAGTAGTAAAGGTGAGCAGTCTGGAGTGTGGAAACTGCTTATGACGATTCGATTTAGGTATCTGCATTCCTAAAATTCTATAGGAAGGGAGGAAAACGGGTCCGCGACGTAGGAAGTGGTAAAGAAAGTAGTCAAGGCAAGCTGTCCAGAGTGTGGAAACTGTTTTTGATGATTAGATTAAGGTATCTACAATCCTAAAATGCTATGGGAAGGGAGGAAAATAGGTCCGCGACATAGGAAGTGGTAAAAGAAGTAGTCAAGGCGAGCTGTCCGTAGTGTGGAAACTGTTTATGACGATTAGATTAAGGTATCTACAGTCCTAAAATGCTATGGGAAGGGAGGAAAACAGGTCCGCGACGTAGGAAGTGGTAAAGGAAGTAGAAAAGGCAAGCAGTCCGTATTGTGGGAACACTGGGAACTGTTTGTGACGGTTAGATTAAGGTATCTGCAATCCTAAAATGCTATGGTAAGGGAGGAAAACGGGTCCACGACGTAGGAAATGGTGAAGGAAGTAGTCAAGGCGAGCTATCCAGAGTGTGGGAACTGTTTATGACGATTAGATTAAGTTATCTGCAATCCTAAAATACTATTGGAAGGGAAGGAAACAGGCCCGTGTCGTGGAAAGTTGTGAAGGAAGTAGTCTATGCGAGCTGTCCGGAGTGTGGAAACTATTTATGACGATTAGATTAAGGTATCTACAAACCTAATATGCTATGGGAAGGGAGGAAAACCGGTCCGTGACGTAGGAAGTGGTGAAGGAAGCAGTAAAGGCGAGTTGTCCGGAGTGGGATCTGTTCATGACCAATAGATTAAGGTATTTTCAATCCAATAATGTTAAGGGAAGAGAGGGAAACAGGTCCGCGACGTAGGAAGTGGTGAAGGAATTAGTAAAGGGATCTTATACAACGACTTTTATGCATTTTGTAATATGCAAACTCCTCCTAGATGGCTGAATCAATCGTTTTTAAATGGCGACGTTTTTGCATGGTGACAAAGACCATATCGGTGAGTGCCAACATCTATATGGCGTTAAAAAAGTCTCTCAGGAATCCGCCCCACTGGGTCTCAAAGTTTCAATGTAATCCTTATGGAAGCAGTATTTGACACATAAACAAAGACATAATAATGATCAGCTTTTGACTTTTGAATGCAGTAGATAAAGAAATAGCACTGTTCCACAGATATTAGAACATAAACGGTGGTATGGATCATAAATATAATCAAATGACGACACCAGCTTGAGGTCCGTGACGTAGGAAGTGGCGAAGGAAGTAGTAAAGGTGAGCAGTCTGGAGTGTGGACACTGTTTAAGACGATTAGGTAGGTATCTGCATTCCTAAAATTCTATGGAAAGGGAGGAAAACGGGTCCGTGACGTAGGAAGTGGTGAAGGAAGTAGTCAAGGTGAGCCGTCCGGAGTGTGGGAACTGTTTTAGACGATAAAATAAGGTATCTGCAATCCTAAAATGCTATTGGAAGGGAAGGAAACAGGTCCGTGACGTAGGAAGTGGTGAAGGAAATAGTAAAGGCAAGCTGTTCGGGGTGGGATCTGTTTATAACCATTTGATTAAGGTATTTGCAATCCTAAAATGCTATGGGAAGGGAGGAAAACAGGTCCGTGACGTAGGAAGTGGTGAAGGAAGTAGTCAATGAGTGAAAATTTAAAAACGTACGTTTTCATGTCCCTGGCCTTTTACTTCGTAGATACTGGATTTTTAGTTTATTATTATGTGTTTTAATATTTTTGGGACGGGGGCAACATGTTACACACATTTATTTGGTTTTAAATAGGTTCTAGGTATTTTTTTCATATTTTTAAAGTCTCAAAATTCACGACCATGACGTGTCCCTAGGGTACATTTTCCAACTTTCACGCTGTTTTTAGACTAATTATTCATGCCGAAATATATAAAGCCATATTTTTATGTCATCAATGGTTATTAAACTTAGAAAAAAGGAGCATATTATAATTTTATTGTCATTACAAACTGACTACCATGACAAAATAAGTCTGTCCCTCGATTTGGCGTCACGACCATTTGGGAAACATTTTCAACTTTGGAGCATGACAGTGGCAAGCCTGGCGTCGATAGAGTCAGTTGGTTTTAGAGACTAGTTCGGGGTGTACGTCAGGATTGTAGTGCCGGTAGTCATTCAATGAAGTAGACATGGTGTTAATTTTTGTTTATAAGATATTTCAATTGCTAGATTAACCTAGAAGTCCACTTTGTATCCTCGAACATGAGGTGCAGGGCTACCGCCAGAACAGAGCCAAATAACACGTAATTTCACGACCAAAGTTTCACGACCATCGCGGGTTTTTTCACGACCAATTCAGCCTTATGGATTATAGTGTGTTTGGTCGTGACAATAACTTTAATATAATTGTAAATTGAACAGTTTAGTTCAATTGAAACACATATTTTTATTATAACAAACAGGATAATTTAAGGATTTTTTAGAAAGATTTAGATTATTCCAGACAATTCACGACCGTACCGCTTGTCCCTGACCATCACGTTTATGATTTCTATCATAAAAATTTCAAAAATTAAAATATCGTCACATTTCAATGTTTTATACACAAAAGAAGCACACCTCTATACAAACATAGCGATTTTTCGGGTCTCAGGTAAGTTTTTTCGGAGTTATACAAACTTAAAAAGATTTTATTGGCTTTTTTTCAATTTTTTGAGTTTTTTTATTTTTTTCTAGAAAGACCAAATATACCAAAAGCTCAGTGACCTTTTTATTGTATAATGCTCATAAAAGTAAATAAGTTTATAGCAAAACATAGTTATAAAAATAATATTAACTATTTTTAATATTAATTTAAACGTCCGTTATGGTCGTGACAGGATTTTGTGTTTTTCCACTAAAGACGCTCTTTTAAAAAGAAACTACCATAGATATTGCGTTACCATGGACATTCTATGAAACTTCAAATGTTAATGAAATAAAAATAATAATAAAAGTTTTGAAAAAAGGGGAAAAGAATTTGCAAAGTGCTTTTCCTGAAAACGTGCGTTTTTAAATTTTCACTCCAATGCGAGCTGTCCGGAGTGTGGAAACTGTTTATGACGATTAGATTAAGGTATCTACAAACCTAAAATGCTATGGGAAGGGAGGAAAACCGGTCCGTGACGTAGGAAGTGGTGAAGGAAGCAGTAAAGGCGAGTTGTCCGGAGTATGGGATCTATTCATGACCAAAAGATTAAGGTATTTTCAATCCAATAATGTTAAGGGAAGAGAGGGAAACAGGTCCGTGACATAGGAAGTGGTGAAGGAATTAGTAAATGCGAGCTGTCCGGAGTGTGGGACCTGTTTATTAAGATTAGACTAAGGTATATGCAATCCTAAAATGCTATGGAAAGGGAGGGAATCAGGTCGGTGACATAGGAAGTGGTGAAGGAAGTAGTAGTAGTAGCGAGTTGTTCGGAGTGTGGGATCTGTTTATGACCAATAGATTAAGGTATTTTCAATCCAATAATGCTAAGGGAAGGGAGGGAAACAGGAAATTGGTCTGAGTCGTAGGAAGTGGTGAAGGAAGTAGTCAAGGCGAGCTGTCCGGAGTGTAGGAACTGTTTATGACGATTCGATTAAGGTATCTACAATCTTAATATTCAATGGTAAGAGAGGGAAACAGGTCCGTGACGTAAGAAGAGGTGAAGGAAGTAGTAAGGTGAGCAGTGTGGAGTGGGGGGACTGGAAACCGTTTGTAGCAGTTAGATTAATGTATCTTCAATCCTAAAATGCTATGAGAAGGGAAGGAAACAGGCACCATGACGTAGGAAGTGGTGAAGGAAGTAGTAAGGCTTGCAGTGCTGAGTGTGGGAACTGTCTTTGGCAATTAAATTAATGTATCTGCAATCCTAAAATGCTATGGGTAGAGAGGGAAACAGGTCCATGACGTAGGATGTGGTGAAGTAAGTAGTAAAGGTGAGCAGTGTTGAGTGTGGGAATGGATTAATGTATCTGCAATGTTAATATGCTATGGGAAGAGACTGTAGACTAAATTAATTACGAAGCACGAATCGATACATATTTCGATACATGGAATCGTTTACAATAGAAATTTACAACTGAGTTGACAACAGCTGATTTTTACTCCATAGAGGCTAAAAGCGATTTTTACTCCCTAAAGAGTAAAAATTCTACTTTAGACCCGTAACGCATGCATTAAAAACGACTTTTTTTACTGCAGTATGACAAAACAATGTATAGTCAATGATAATATGAACCCTTGATGACTCCGCTCAATTTTTCGATGCCTCTGCGAACGCCACCTAGTTATCTATATATTAATACGCAAGCAGTTTTCTTTTCACAGTCGTAACTCAATAACGGCTTGATGGATTTTAAAGTTTGAGGTGTCAAATTAAAGGTATTTTCACGTAGATGTGCAAATATGTCTCAGAGTATTTGGAAAGGGCACCAATTAAGTACAGTTAAGGGCTAAAGTTTGGAAGGCGGCGCCATCTGTTTACATTTGATCAAACTCATTTCCCTTTGTTTACAAATAACACATATGAACGTAGTTTGAAATAGTTTTTAAGGTTAACCACAGACTGCAGGACTTAAAACTTCCAGAGCAAAGCCGGAATTTATATTTTGTTTCAATCTGTTAACTAAGTCTGGTTCATAATGAAGAGTTTCCTATCAATACTAGACAACAAAGTGTTTAAGGATAAATATTTAATTCTTTTTGTCTATGGTTAAATTGATTTAGCTTACATCGTATTTTACTGATTATCATGTAGTTACAGTTCGATGTGATGAAGTGAATGTTTAAAAGTGATTATTCACAGGGCAGTTATCCGTTACATTACCATATTATCATTTAATTTACAATGTGTATCAAAATTCCAATGCCTTTATAGTGTTTTCTGTTGTTTAGTTAACTTTCTTATTTCATTTCAATTTAAAATCAAATGCCGCCAGTACGACGAAGAACTGTGGGTGGCTGGAGGGAATGCGAACATGACCGCTTGCATCAACCTTTCAATTGAACATTTGATGGGTACATATAGTGGTGTACCACCGTTGTGATAGTCCAATCTCGGACAAATGAACGTTAAATGTTTACATTGTAGTGACTTACATATTTTTAAGCAAGAAAAGACTGGCCGAGATAGTTCAGTTTGTACTCTTTGTTGCCATAAATGTTTGTTTACCTCATTTGTACAATTCACCACAATAAACTTCGGGTTCTTATTGGAAACTCCCAATCTGAAAATAGGACTGTGAGACTTATGTCCAGAAATTATTTGGATAAAGTTCGTCAATCAATTCAGTTCCGCCTTTACCATGGTCAGCTCCAAAGCTCATTAAGATGAGAAAGTTCCACAGGGGATCTACAATTTTAAGATCCGTGACACGTTTTACCACCGAATGGGTCCTCTAATTCCTCAAGAAGGTGATGATCCTGAATACGCACAGATATATAAGTAAGTACGACAATGTCACTAGAACCCAAAGGAGAACTAAGCACAATTTAAAAAAAAATGCAATGAAAAAATATGCAGGAAATAGGGTCACAATTCCAACCCATTTGCAAATCTTCGAAGACTGTGACAGACATTATGTAGGGACGAGAGCTCAGAGGAGTCAAGTGAGATTCTTATGTACATAATAAGAGACAGAAGAAGTGTCTTCCCTCGCTACAATGGTGCTACCTGTGTAGATTTCGCAGCAATTTTTTAAAGCTGAAAACAAAGCCCCACCTAGCCAAATTTAAATATTGTAGATTGCTTTTATACTTTTTTACATCATAATATTTTTATATTTCTATAATCAGTCATATAAATTATTTTAGAGTGACTCTTTGATTAAGGTCTTGCTGTTTATGTTTTTTGTTTATTTTTTATACAAGTTTCAGTTTTGCTCGATTTCGAGCAACAGGTTATCTAGTTTGAATTATTCATTAAATTGCACTTTAGACAATCATTTTTGAACTGCAGCTACCATTTGATTCTTAAACGGCTAAACCTCTTTGGGACAATCTGTACATTGAACTGCATCTTCATGTAATCATGTTAAATATAACATTAAGTATTCAACAGTGTTAAACTATGGTATTATTATTATCAATCGGTTATCTTTTTCTGACAGTTACAAATTATACTTCTAGGTTTTGTAACTTTTAAAACGACAGATAAATTATTTTACCACATGTACTACATAGGCCTACAAGTACATTTAAATAATGGTAGTAGATGACTTTTACTTTACTTAGCCTTGAAACGGCAAAATAAAACATGCCTATTCCTTTTTATTTTCAGTAAACATGTTACATATTTCCACCCCAATGATACAAAGCAAACATTAATTATTAATTAATTTGTGGAAATTGTGTAGACTAGCTGTGTGCTCGTTCTACGCACGGGGATCTTGCATACTTTCAGATATGCTGACAAAACTATTTTATATAAACCTTTGCAAATACAGTAAGTATCTGACAGTTTCAAGCCAAAACTAATGCTTCGCAATTAAATGTCGCCCGGATCTTGTTGGTCCATATGATAAATCCAATTATTAAACTAAAAAATGCTTTATAGATCTATGAGGCATAGCCCTGAGGTAGGCCTATAATTGAAAGTCACTATCCACAATGGTTAAAAGTATTTAAGGTACTACCTCAACCTCACAATTTAACACTTTATTCGGGTTGACATTTTCATTATCAAGGTGCTCTTGTCCTTTCCGTGAAACACTGAGAAATAAGGACATTAATGCGTTACCATACACACAAAAATACAGAACTAAATTAGGGTAATTTGCTACGCTTTAAGCATAACAAAGAACATATAAAACTAGTATTTGAAATCTTTGTTAATGTTATAAAATTTTATCATAACAATTTATATTCTCTTGGACCGAAGATGACCCGAAATGCTGTCGAAATGCTATATGAATCGGCTTGCTATGAAATGAAGTACTATAGACGATTTAGATTGGTAATTCATAATAAAAATTACCAAAATAGGCCACGAACTATCGATACATAAACAATGTTTAAAGCGTTTGAAAAATTCATTATGGTTTGCTGAATAAATGTTTTTCTAAAATGTGTTATCGTTTTCTTAGCATAAACTAACATTTTTGAATCCAGACAGAAAAATCAAAACTTATACAGTTAAGACATCAATTAAATTGAATACGCCTGTAATAAATAAGGTGCAACACCAACAATAACTAATTTGTAAATTACAGTGATGTGTTGGTACGTAAAAATTATTGTTGCAGTTACCATAACGGTTCAAAGGAAAAGAACCAATACCAAAAACCAACGTTTACAGTTAAGAACTATAGTATATCCGACCAATTATATGCGTTAATCAAGGTTATGATCTCTTGGTTTTGGATTTTCTCGTATAAAAAGTTATCGGCAATCAAAGTTATTTCCCATTAATTGTTTTTTTTTCAAACAACTTTTAATGTAAACTTTTAATGTAGGGAAAAGTACCGGTATCAAGGATCGTCGTCGAAAAGGTTGTTATAATTGGGTAGGCGTTCGTGCCCAAGAGATGGGCTATGGGCTTATTGGCTGTATGGTCCAGCGATTGCATCACACGGTGAGTAGGAACTATTGACTATATATAGTCAATGGTAGGAACAGAAAGTGACACATTGGAAAATCGAGTTTAGCATCATCCGTAAACCTCTGTTACAATCACCCACTGCAGTTGTAATTTTTTACTTTACACTTTACACAACCACCATTGAAGCGCCGTCAATGAGTGGAACTTTGTTTCTAAGCTATTGGCGACGATCATTAATAAATTTAAGTCTTCCAGCCGTATACAATACTGATTCAAGGTCTTCTTTCTGGTTATCAAAACTCAAGAACAATTTTTTAAACAAGGAATCTCTTGTTCTTGACCTGGATAATGCCTAGTTAGTTAATTTAATTTACGGTTACACTATATTATTCCACTTGCGATTAATTAAATCCTTCATGTAAGAAACACGTTTTTAATCTCACTTGGATGGGATTTGCCTTGAAAACGTGATCGGAAATGGTTGCAGTTTTTGTAAACAACATTTGTAAACATATCAGTGACAGCTAGAAAAAATAATCTTGATCCGAACACCTGTTCGTAATTTCATAGATGATTATGTGATACAAATTGGACGAAAACTTGACAAAAATCGCACAAAATGGCATTTTTGAACGTCCTTAATTTTATTTACAAATTAGTGAGGCCATATTTTAATGGCTAAAGACACTCTCGCCAATCCAGTGAATACATTAAAATGACTTGGATCATGATAGGTACTCCCGTTTTCCTGGAGAAGATTGCGTAAAATGCCATCTTGAGTGTTACAGACGGACAGAAAGACTGACAGACAGACAGAAATTTAGATGAGACTTGTTTCGGCTTCTTTAATGTATAAAACGTAAAAATAACCTAAAAATTTATGATTCTGAGCAATGTACAGACAAAACCCTAATTTTATGAATATAGATATAAACATATTGCAAACTTTATGGAACGAATACATACCAGTAATTGTTTGGATCCAAACTTAAGTGAACTGGTAAAAGTAATGCTACATAAGTTTGGGTTTTGTTTGTGTGTATATTTTACTCAATAAAATATCAAATAAGTTAACTAGAAATTTCTGTCATGTTGAACCTGTATCATTCAGTCAGACTTAACAGATTATGATGGTTGCAGGTGCCATAACATTCGCCAACACTGGCATAGCCATGCTGGAGCCATCCCTTCCCATATGGATGATGGACACTATGGGGGCTGGTAGATGGAAGCAAGGGGTCACTTTTCTACCTGCCAGCATATCTTACCTCATCGGCACTAACCTCTTTGGACCTCTTGGGCATCGCATGGGAAGGTATACTGAGAGTTCGCATCTTACAAAAGTCTTTCTTTTATAAGGTATACCGTTATAGTTTTGAAGATAAACTGTTCAACCACTAATGTAAATATACTTTTTATGTTACTGGCTAAAAAAACTCTTATTTCTGTGAATAGATGAATGATGGGTTTGAGTTTAATTTAGCTGTTAAAAAATTACCTAGGCCTACTTGTACATTAGGGATTGATAAGAATTTTTGTTTCAGGTGGTTGGCATCTTTGCTGGGGCTTATAATAATTGGAATATGTCTGATGTGTGTAAGTACATGTACATATTTAAACCGACATGATTAATAAGCTAGGTATTTAGGTGCAGCAGTAGCATATTCTTAACCACTAGTGTACATGTTGCTCAAATTCGAGCAATTGCAAAGTATTACAGGAGTTATTTCAAAACGAATAACATTCATATTTACAATGAGTTTAAAAGAGTCAACTCAAAGATTACCGGTGTGTAACTCAGACCATGTTTTCTTCGTTACCGTATTGATAAACCTAAAGCATTCCGGCCGGTTTTCTCCTTCTCAAAATACCTCGCTGTCTAGGCAACACAGGGATCATTGATAGAGGGCCAATTGAGAACGAAAAGTCGTTTTGGGGTAGTGTTAGGGCGCATTTGTAACCTAATAGTTGAGATTGTCCAGGGTAAGGTGCTGACTGTGATGAGTTAAGTCTATTACGCGCCACTGTTCTGTAGCTGCGGTCGTTTTCACGATTACGCTTCCTGTCTATGTTTTGTTGTCGTCGCGTCGGAGGCATTTAAAAGAAAAAAAACAACAACAAAACAAATTATAGCTACACAAATGAACGATAATTGCACAAATTTAAGTTACAATCATGCTAACACTATCCGTCATAGCGACACAAAACAACGATAAATGCACAAATTTAAGATACCACCATACTAACACGATCCGTCTTGGGGGCTATGTTTACACAAACTCAAATCTTACTAATATTATAAATGTGAAAGTTTGTTTGTTTGTGTGTTTGAAGGTCAATCACGCATAAACCACTGGATGGATTGGGCTGAAATTTGGCATGATGATAGGTCACATTCCCGATTAACATATAGGCATATTCTTATCTCAAAAATCCCTTCAGGCTCCGCCCCAGTGGCTCTGTAGTTCCCCATGTTAACCTTATGAGTATTCATATTTAAAGGGAATTAAAGAATTTAGTCAGCTGTTTCAACTAAAAAAGTTGGTTCTATCCTATACTCTAATACGAGCAATGTTTGCTTGTATGTATGCTTGCTTGCTTGCAGAAAAATCTCGAAAACGGCTCCGACGATTTTCTTTAAATCTTGTAAATAGTTAATTTTTGGCCTCAAAACGAGCTTCATGCGGTTAGAACTCCCAACAAAAATCTAATTATGTTGAAAAACGAAACTGAAAGTCACATTTTTTTAACATTAGTCTTATGGGTTGCTAAGTAACCATGTTGGTTGAATTAAATAACAAGGAAAAAGTAAACAAAAGACTTGAAGTTGTAGCACGTGTTCATAATAAGCCAACTACCCACAGTATACTAGCAAATTACAAATACAGTACAAAAGGGAAAGCATCACTTGCTAGGAATGTTGTCCGGAGTGTTGGATCTGTTTATGACAATTAGATTAAGGTATTTGCAATCAAAAAATGCTATGGGAAGGGAGGGAAACAGGTCCGTGACGTAGGAAGTGATAAAGGAAGTAGTAAAGGCGAGCAGTCCCGGAGTGTGGGAACTGTTTATGACGATAAGATTAGGGTATCTGCAATCCTAAAATGCTATAGAAAGGGAGGGAAACAGGTCCCCGAAGTAGGAAGTGGTGAAGGGAGTAGTCAAGGCGAGCTGTCTGGAGTGTGGGAACTGTTTATGACGATTAGATTAAGGTATTTGCAATCCTAAAATGCTATGAGAAGGGAGGAAAACAGGTCCCCGAAGTAGGAAGTGGTGAAGGAAGTAGTCAAAGCGAGCTGTCTGGAGTGTGGGAACTGTTTATGACGATTAGATTAAGGTATTTCCAATCCTAAAATGCTATGGTAAGGGAGAAAAACAGGCTCGCGACGTAGGATGTGGTGAAGGAAGTAGTCAAGCCGAGCTGTCTGGAGTGTGGGAACTGTTTATGATGATTAGATTAAGGTATCTGCAATTTTTAAATGCAATGGGAAGGGAGGAAAACAGGTCCACTTCGTAGGAAGTGGTGAAGGAAGTAGTAAGGCTAGCAGTGCTGAGCGTGGGAACTGTCTGTGGCAATTACATTAATGTATCTGCAATCCTAACATGCAATGGGAAGGGAGGGAAACAGGTCCACGACGTAGGGAGTGCTGAAGGAAGTAGTAAAGGCGAGCAGTGTGGAGTTTGGGAATGGATTTATGTATCTGCAATACTAAGACTGCTTTCAGAGCAAACTAATGATTTTCCCGAGCAAAGCTCGGTCCCCAGATACAAAAGCATTAAAAAGTTATAAGATTTACCAACAGGGTGCAGCACTATATTTTTTTTGCATTTATATAAACAGCTAATTTGAACTAAGCAGTAACAAACAACTGTGATACACAATAAAAACTGTCATAGTAGGATTGTTTACAGTTATGTTTATGTTTTTAATGTCATGAATAATTTGTGATTTTTTAATTTGTAATACTTTTTTTCTTTATTGTTTAGGTGAAGAGGTAGAACATTATGGCTATGGTAGATGTGTAATACCATAGTATACCGTCAATTTAAAGAAGTAAATTTTATCAAACTTTGTCCTTCCCCATTGCAAACTCAAAGCTTGAGTATAACTGGAATAAGCAATTTACACTTATTTGCCAACCCCGTACGAAGGACGGGTACTCTGCGTTTCATTGAATTGAAATATAAATAACAGCAATTAAATTATACAGCTGTGTTCTTATGTTCTTCATAAGGATAACATGGAAACTTTCAAAGCCACTGGAGCAGAGCCCCTGGGACTTTTTCAAAAATGTAAGGCCAGTTTGCAAATCTACGCGACACGCTCTTTCCAATGAGACGTCAATGGATAAAATCTGTTAAGAAATGGCGGAGGAGTTCAACCGACAAAGTTTCATGTAGCGTATTAATTATATAAATAGATTTCCGTTAATAGGCCTACTGTTGCAATGGTAATAATTGAATGATTTTCTACAGGTGGGTATTAAAATGCATTAATTTAAGGCTGTTCATTTATGTCTGCCATTTAATTGATTGAGATGAATTGGCATGAATAAACTTCACACCCGTCCTATGGTACACTTCATTCAAATTATATTATTATTGTGTCTGAATGTGTTTTTGAATATCCTTTATTAAGAGTGGTACTTTTTAAGGTAATGCATTAACTATTGTGTGGTTCAAAGAAGAGGATTTTTATCAACGCAACCCTTAATTAATTACAAGTACAGAAAGATCACTGTTTGCGGGAAAAATATGCTCATGAGCTGGCATAGCTATGTTTACTTTACTTCATTACTAGATTATATGCTTTAATGCATTGTTGTGTTTGTCTAATTAGTGTTAGCAAATTTCCCTATAGGGAAGTAGCTATTACTGTAGGTGGCACGTAAGCCTAGACCCGGGACCGATTTACTTTTTCATTTTGATGTCCCCAGAGGCTAAAAACACCATTCATTCAAATTTTTATATATGTATATATGGTATATATATATAGATTTAAATATATATATATATTTAAATAAAATATACGTCCGTTAACACAATAACTTGAGTCATTTTTGACTTTCAAAACACAGAATTTCCCAATTTCTCTAGACCTTTTTTAAGAGCTTACCAATTTCCAGGATAATTGCTGGCTTTTTTAAACTAATTTTGTGTATCAAAGTGTTTTTGTACGTTTATTGGTAACGGAGAAAGTTCAAAAAATTTTAAATTTAAAATTCCCATGTTATTCTTATGGAGAATATTGTAAAATTTTGTAGTTTGCTTGTTTATGGATATACAGTATTTTGATCAAACTTGGCATATTTATTTATTAGCGAATTTCCCTATAGGGAAGTAGCTATTACCGTAGGTCTCATGGTAAGACTTAAGCCCGGGACCGATTTACTTTTTCATTTTAATGTCCCCAGAGGCCAAAAACACCATTCGTTCAAATTTTTATATATAGATATATATATATATATATAGATTTATATATATATATATGTGTCCGTGAACACGATAACTTGAGTAATTTTTATCCGATTTTGATAAAATTTGGTTTGAAGGTGTAAGGCGGGATAAACTTGAATGAGTTCGCGATCCAGCATGATCGGACCATGGGAACAGGGTTTTATGGGGGGTTTTATGGGGTAAAAATTGGTTTTTCTCACTTCTTACCCTCAAAACACAAAATTTTCCAATTTTTCTCTAAACCTTCTTAAAGAGCTTAAAAAACAAACAATTCAGTATATCAAAGTGTTTTTGTACGGTTAATGATTATGGAGAAAACTAAAAAAATGGTAAATTTAAAATTCCCATGTTATTCTTATGGAGAATATTGTAAAATGTTGTAGTTTGCTTGTTTATGGATATATTTTGATCAAACTTGGCAAATTTATTTATTTTATAGTAAGCTATCAATATTTTACTAAAAACACACTACTTTATTAGTTTCCTTGTAGCAGCAAACCTAGGTACTCGTTAAACCTAATGTTATTTAAATAGATCAATTAAAAATCAATTCGGCCAAATGGAAATTCGCTTAGACGGCAGGTTTGCTGCGGCGGGGGTATTTTATACTAAGCTATTAATATTTTACAAAAATACACTTTGTTAGTTTTGTTGTAGCAGCAAACCTAGGTAGTACTCATTAAACCTAATTATCAATTATTTAAGATGGGGGCGCCACTATGTGCGTATTTTAACCCGAATATGAGTAAGGATGTGTGTAGGATGAGTGGCGTGATCTTGTAGTCTTGTTGTGTAAGGAATATGTCGGCCTTAGTCACTTTAAGGAATTGGTCTAATTATCAAGAATAGTACTGTGGATCAGTCGTAGTACTCACTAGTGAGGTCGTTAATCCACACCAGGGAGTATCACATCCACAGTGCGTCTCTATAAATATCAAAATATCCACAATCCGTGACCTCCTAGTAGCTGGATTACAGGACGACACCTCCATCCCAGTCTAATGTTTTATTAATAGATTTAATTAAAAATTAATTCAGACAAATGGGAATTCGCTTAGTCGACAGGTTTGCTGCGAGGGGGGGGGGGGGTATTTTTGTTAATTTATTGTATAGGATTCAACAAGTTTTTCTCTTGGGAACCCAGTATGTTTAAGATTGATAACGCATACATACCGTATATGGAAAAATTAAGTATTGTATTATTGATCTTAACAGTTAATTCAACCTAAAGGTTTGATTTATTAGGTACTCAAATCTCCCATAACAAATTAAACGCCTGCAAACAATTCTTGGCATAAAACGGATTGTTCACTTTTGATGCATGATTCTGCAATACATTCTATTTAAGCTTGTGAAAATAATAGGTACCATCAAGTCTTACCATCTTAAGTCTCATGTAATTTTAAAAATATGTATTAGTTTGCATGGTTATTTTTTTTAGATTGTACAATTATCCGTAGCATGATTAATTTGTTGTTATGTATCATACAATACAAATAATAGATTCAGTTGACGATTTATAATCTGACATACGTAAAGTTTTACGCAAAAACATTCTATCCTTAATCTAACAGAAAGAAAAGGAACTTTAGGCCTACTCCTAAAGTTAACCAGACTACTCTCCTTGTAAAGCTTAAAGGTTTTCATGAAACCAGGTTATTTGTGAGATACTGAGCAGTTGTGACGGGCTGACTTGGTGATATTCTATTCTGCAACATCTTGTATTCGTTGAAAAGAGGGATCTGTAGCTGATGTTGGTTGTGTGTTTTCCAGATTCCACTGGCTCGCAGTCTGAAGCATCTGATAGTGCCCAACGCGGGGCTGGGCTTCGCTATAGGCATGGTGGATAGCTCCATGATGCCAGAACTGGGCTATCTGGTGGACATTCGACACACGGCTGTGTATGGAAGTGTGTACGCCATCGGCGACGTCGCCTTCTGTCTTGGGTTTGCAATCGGTAACTTTCCATTGCTAAAATCTTATACTTGCTGAATATGTTAAGTTAAGATATGAACATGCAGTATTATCTCTCAGTTACAATCTAACAAGTTCAAAAGTAAATGATAATGTTCAGATTTAAGAGTGCAGATTCTACAGAGTAAAATATTTTTAATGCATTTTCGGTGCATAAAAAAACCATTTTGCAGATTAATATTTTGATATCGCAAATCCTATCAGTTAGTAAATCATAATAGTTATTTGTGCAACTAGTGATAAAAGTGAGCAATTGACTCACTCGAGAGAAATACTTAGGAATGGTTTCTTGAGTGAGGCAATTGTACTTTGAACTCGAGTTGCACATTATACTTTTCCTACAGTTACCATAAAACAAATAAATTGGTGAAGAAACATAACCTATTTTTACACAGAAGTGAACTTTTAATATAACATTTAATGTGAAGTGACAAATACAACAGTACAACAGCTGACCAGCTGATTTACAGCCAGTGCTGCCAACGTATTTCGCGCGCATACGACGTTGCCTGCATGTTACGCGCTTACTATTTCGTGCCTTCATGTTGCAAATCTGGAGTGAGACAAAGTAATTAGAGTGAGACAATGTTAACATTGTCTCACTGATGAGCGAATTGGCCTTTTTGCTTTCTCAAATCAGTGAGAGAACATGTACATTATTAGGTAACTGTAGGAAATAGTTATTTGTGTAACTAGTGGTGAAAGTGGCACTTTGCTGCACACGAGAGAAATGTTTACGCACGAGCCGCAGGCGAGTGTGGAATGATCTCGAGTGCAGCAAAGGCCTTTTTCACTCGTGTTACACATTATATTTTTCCTACAGTCACTATAAAGCATATAAATAATTAGTCTTTCAAACACTATACAACACGTTTTTAGGTTCAGCTGGCAACACAAATGGTGCCCTAGAGAAAGTAGTACCCGCGGTCCGTATCACTCCGCGATTTTTCCTCGGTAAGAAATGTGCTCCGCGTTTTGAGAATATAGTTCCGTATGTTTTTGTAATTTGAAGTAGTTTCCGCGCCTAAAAAAAATGCTTTAAAGGTATTTTCTTGTTTATTAAGATCGTAGGAATGTTTTAAACACGTTTAAAAGAAAAGTCCAGAAAGTTCAGAAATTATAAAATACCGAAACTATAAACACAAAATGACAGGTTAAATCGTAGTTATAATAGTCAATCAGCTGCTCATAGTATTATTATCTTTAAGTGTTGCCAACCTATTTCCAAGCGTACACGGATTACGTGCATAATAGAACCACGCTGATTTGTGTTGTTTCGTTGGAATCCTGATGTGCGGCAAAGTATAAACCGTACGACAAAGTATAAACCGTACGGCAAAGTATAAATATGCAGCAATTAGCAGCTTTCTGTACTATAAACAGTACAAGGAAGCCAACTTTGTCGGGTGACTGTAGGAAAAAGTAATTTTGTTACAACTACAAGTATCTTCGAAAGAAACATTATTTTACCAAATGTATTTTAATACCATTTTATGTAAAAGTGCTAAATATAGGTTACAAAAATACTTCTAGCATAATATGTTGGAAATAATGGGGATTTCATTATCTTTTGACCCTTTTAATGCCCTAGAGTACCAAAAAAACTATTTTTCTAATCTTCATATATCTTTTTAATATAAAAATAGTTAATTTTTCTCTCAACTACACATTTATAAGTTTTTACTTTACACATTACATAACTTATATATTATTACTGAAAACATTTTTACAAGAAAGGTACACTTTTTGATTTTTCTGGTAACACTATTTTCTAATATTGTTTAAAATAAATGAGACAACCTCAAACTAAAAAGTTTAGAAATTAATGTAAAATATCTAGGACTCAATTTGACATTTTCCAGTGAGCCATGTTGGTTTAAATTCTTGGAGCCATTTTATTGAAGAATTTATTTAGTTTAACTTTTGTAATTAATCTTTCAGGCCCTGCAATGAGTGGAACACTAGTAAATACCATAGGTTTTGAGTGGATGCTGTTTGGAATTGCAATTTTGACTTTTGCATATGCGCCACTCATGTGTTTCTTAAGGAATCCACCGACCAAAGAAGAGAAAAAAGTGAGTGTACCTTTATTTTACTCAAAAACTTAGAGCCTTATTATGTGTGGCCGCTCGAGTGGCTCCTTATATGGCTAGGGGTAGCGACAAGTGTGGCGAGGTCGCGCGTCTGACCGAATGTTACAGACTTTTATGTTGTTTCTCAGAGTGAATTGAATGATGTAGTCGTCAAGTAAAGAAGATGAACTATTTCTACTACTGATATAAATCACGTTTTTGAAAATGATTCTATTGGGGCTTTATTAAAATTGCAGGCATTTATTCATGAGTTATTCACTTTTCATACAACAGATCTATAAAAAATAATTATTCTCTTTAGCGTTCTCTTCCCGTTGCGAAGCACGCCACGGGTATGGAGGCTAGTTTCTTATACATATAAGTGAGCCATGTGATGCAATGTTAACCCTTCACGGACTGGTAAGATCGGTCTGCTTACAACAAACTTTCACAAAAAAAATCTCCTTAAGCTCACTGTTTTGGATATTTATGTGTAACTAGTGTACATGTTGCTCGAATTCAAGCAATTACTAAGTATTACAGGCGTTATTTTAAAACAAATAACAGTCATAATTTCTGATGACTTTAAAAGATTCGACTCATAGATTATGGAAATACTCTAGATGCACATAACAGATCGATATAATCAACATTTCTTGTAAATATCTTAAAATTTTTCAAAAGCTGATCAGTGTTTTTAGTGTTTTCTACAAAAATAGCCTTACTCATAGCCGTTTTAGGTTGTCCATAATAACGGTTATTAATTCTAAAAAAAACATTATTTCTATTTCTTCTCCTTGGCGGTGTTCTATGACTTTCCTATGTTTCCATAGTTTGCAAATCGGCTCTTTCATTGATTACTAAGAAATGCGGCACAGTGTTATTTCAGTTTTTTTTTAGTATAACAAATTATCTAGGCTCTCTCGATTTTTTCCATTGTAATATTTACGCTAACCCAAATTAAAATAGTAAATATTTTATTTCAACCAAGTCGGTAAATGTTTGTAGCAAACAGTTAAATTAGTAAACTTATTGACTGTTTACAATCAACATATGTTCTTCTTCTCACTTTTAATTTCTGACAACAGCTGGAGTTTCATAGCAATGTTTGTTTCCCATGTTAATCTTTATGGAGAAATACAAAACTTTAAAGGGCCCCAGGGCCTCACTCTCTAATTATTTCCCTAAAAAGAAAGTTTGCTGCACAACTTTACGTTATGCTTTTTCCAATGACACCAAAAACATTTCAATCGGTTCAGTAGTTTCGGAGGAGTAATTGTCACAAAAAACCTGCTTGCGTATTAAATAAGTACTAGTGTCCCTGTTGCTCGAATTCGAGCAATTGCTAAGTATTACAGGCGTTATTTTAAAACGAATAACATCCATAATTTCTGATGAATTTAAAAGATTCCACTCAAAGATTATGGAAATACTCAAGATGTACATAACAGATCGATATAATCAACATTTCTTGTAAATATCTTATCATTTTTCAAAAGCTTATCTTGTTTTTTAGTGTTTTCTAATAGCCTTACTCATAGCCGCATTAGGTTGTCCATACCGGTAATAACTATTATAAATTCTAAAAAAAACATTATTTCTATTTCTTCTCCTTTGTGGTGTTCTATGACTTTCCTATTTTTCCATAGTTTTCAAATCGGCTCTTTCAATTATTACTACGAAATGCAGCATAGTGTTAATTCAGTTTTCTTTTTAGTATATCAATTTATCCAGGTTCTCTAGCTTTCCATTGTAATATTTACGTCAACCCAAATTCAAATAGTAAATATTTCATTTCAACCAAGTCAGTAAATGTTTGTAGGAAACTGTTGAATTAGCAATCTTGTTCACTGTTTACAATTAACATATGTTCTTCTCACTTTTAATTTCTGTCAACAGCTGAAGTTTCATAACCATTTTTGTTCCCCATGTTAATCTTATGGAGAAATACAAAAATTTGTTCCCTAAAAAGAAAGTTTCCTGCACAACTACACGTTACGCTCTTTGCAATGACACCAAAAACATGTCAATCGGTTCAGTAGTTTCGGAGGAGTAATTGTCACAAAATACCTGCTTGCGAATTAAATAAGTATATATAGATATATATATATATTTATATAGATTCTAATGTAGTGTATTTTCTTTTTCTAGTCACTTGTACTGGGCGAAAAATCGTCTGTCCGTTATGTCACATACCAAAATGAAGAAGACGATGAGTAAACGACACAACTCAAGTCAATGGAAGAACTTAACAATCTGATAAAAAGGGACCAGGGGGTACCTAGTCATTTGAAATGACTAATAATACTGCATTATTTTGAAATCATATCAGAACATATTTTTATATAATTTGCATGGTTCATGCAAGAACAATCAAAGCAAATGTGATATTGTAAGAAACATGTTATGTGCTTGGTACCAGATAAGGGTGATCAAAAATGTTATACAACACAAGTTTAATTACTTGGAAAATTTAATAACTTCTGATTATTTATGCTGAAAATGAAAAAAAAACACATAAATCTAGAACATTAATGAAAATATACATAAACCTAAAATATACATGTACAACCGATGAGTTATAGAGTTACAAACATTTATCTTTGGGTAAAGTGAAGAAATAATGGAAGTGCTAAAATATTTAATACCAATTTAAGATGTCACAGTTCAATGTCACAGTACTTTTATTTCATTCAGTGAAGCATTGAAATAAGCCTAATGCAAGTCTTTTTTTCCTCAAAACAGTTACTGTATTAAATGTTAAGATAGCATTTACATATCTTACAAAATCTCTCCTCAAAAAGCTGGAATGCCATTTGAATACCAGGTACCAAGCAAATAACGATAGCTGCAGGACCGTTAGAAATTTATCTACTTAATTCACATTGTTTATTTTCATATTTGTTTTACGAAGGGAACAAAACATGGTACCATGACATTAAAATATACGAAGACAATATGATATACAATAAATGCAGAATTTTATTGTTCAAAGAATATCTGATACAGAGTGATAGACATGCATTTAGTCTTTTTAAATTCTAAATTCTATAGAGCACTCCTTGGCTAAAGGTTTTTGTGAATGGCTGCACAAAACCTATAGGAGAGGAACTCCCCAAGGTCGGATGAAAATGTGCTCCATTCGGCACCGACAAATGTAGAGATGCAATGAGATACAAACACAAGCGTGATCTATCGCACACCGACCGAGACTTTGGATACTCTTGTGCAACTGCTGCCTGAAATACTATTTTATGAATTATTTAAATATATATAAGAAATATATATTAAAATATAGATTACTGTCGGATCGTTGCCCGTGAGGGATGGAAGCCTCTCAGGAGTTTTTGCCACTTTGAACGCTGTTACATGATATGAGCCGCTGACAACTGATAGTAGGGGCTTTTCCATACGATAGTTTGTCATTTTCAATATTCCAATAAGTTAAATTTGTTTCATGCATGTTAACTCATGAAATTGTCATATTTCAATGTTTATTAATAATTTATATTACAGTTCAAACTGGTTTCTGTGTATATATTTTTAAATTACTCTTTTTTGAGAAAGATACTGACAAAGTGTATGACGAGAGGTGTGTAAATGCATGGGTATGGCAATATCCGCTATGTACAGTACCGTATATTAAACATATTGTAACATATTATTTAACGTTTCCTCACCGGCTGTCTGACAATAAGTTAAGCATGAGGAATCTTGTCTCTATCTCATGATAGTATAAGCTGGTTTGGGTCCGAACATGACTTGCCATCCGTACTGGGAGGCTGGTCAGTCTATCTACGTGTCTAGCTGATTATCTCTATTCATGTACATCAGTGTTCTGTGGCAAACCGTGTCAGCTTCATGTGTAAACGTGGTGCAATAAATGGTGACAGATTTTACCATACCTTATGTGTTTTATTACTCTTCCTAAATCCCACTACTAAAGACAAAAACAAGTACTTAAACTAAGTAAATCCATTATCAATAACCATTAGAGAACAAACAAGTTTTGAACAGGCTTTTGATTATTTCCTATTGCACAATATCTTATATTACTTATATTATAAAAATGTGAAAGTTTGTGTGTTTGTTTGTTTGAAGTACAATCACGCATTAACTACTGGTTGGATTGGGCTGACATTTGGTAAGGTGTTAGCTCACACTCCCGATTAACATATAGACATATTCTTATCTCAAAAAACCTTTCGGGCTCCATCCAGTGGCTCTGGAGTTTCCAATGTTAAACTAATGAGTATTCATATTTAAAGGAATTAAAGACTTTTGTGTGCTGCTTCAACTACACACTGTTCTAACAGTGTTACAGTGTTGAAACAGAGTCACTGTTCAACTACACTGTTCTATCGTTCTATGATATTAAATAACATTTAAAAGTTATAAGGTAACAAGGTGCAGCACTATTACATTCTTTGGCATTTATGACAACAGCTAATTTGAACTTACTAGCAACAAAAAGCTGTGATATACAATGAATAAATAAGTACAACTGAGCACCCTGAATCTTACTAATATTATAAATGTGAAAGTTTGTGTGTTTGTTTGAAGTTCAATCACGCATTAATTACTGGCCGGATTGGGCTGAAATTGGCATGATGATAGCTCACATTCCCGACTAACATATAGGCATATTCTTATCTCAAAAATTCTTTCGGGCTCTGCCCCAGTGGCTCTGGAGTTTCCCATGTTAACCTTATGAGTACTCATATTTAAATGGAATTAAAGAATTTAGTCAGCTGTTTCAACTAAAGAGGTTGGTTCTATAATTTGCAAAAGCATTAAAAGTTATAAGATTTTCCAACAGCACTATTTTTTTCATTTATGAAAACAGCTAATTTGAACTAAGCAGCAACCAAAAAACTGTGATACACAATGAGAACTGTCTGTTTACAGTTATGTTTATGTTTTTAATTTCACGAACGATTTGTGATATTTTGCCAATCTCGAATAATTTTTTTTATTGTTTGGGATAAGTGGTAGAACATTATGGCTATGGTAGATGTGTAATACTATAGTATGCCGTAAATTTCAAAAAGAAGCATATTTAATCATACTGTGTTACTGTGTACTCCTCCATTGCAAACGCAAAGTTTGAGTATAACTGTATTAAGCATTTTATGCCAATCCCGTACAAAGGACGGGTACTCTGCTAGTATTATATATTTTTTTAAAGATGTGACATGTTTCGGACATAAGTCCATTTTCAAACTTCAAATACATTCATTTTCACTTCTTTCAAAAAAAATATAATATTCAGGGTACTCAGTTTTACTTATTTACTTATATATTTAATATACATATATTTAATTTATATATATATATATATATGTGTGTGTGTGTGTGTCCATTAGCACGATAACTCGAGCAAAAAAAATTATCCGATTTCGATGAAATTCAAACGAGTTCGCAAACCAGCATGATCAGACCATTGGTAAGGGGTTTTATGGGGGGATTTATGGGAAAAAATAGGTTTTTCTCATTTTTGAGCCTCAAAACATAATACTTACCAAATTTTCTTCTTTCCATTTTGAAGAGTTAAAAGAACAAATACTTAGTATATTAAAGAGTTTTTGTATGGTTATCGTTTACGGAGAAATTTGTAAATTAAAAATTCCCATGTTATTCTTATGGAGAATAAGTAAACTTTTGTAGTTTACTTGTTTATACATATATTTGGACCAAACTTGGCAAATCTATTTATTTTGTATTAAACTATTAATATTTTACTAAAAAAACACACTTTATCCTCCCTGTAGGCAGCGAACCTAGGTACTCGTTAAACCTAATGTTATTTTAATAGATTTAATTTGAAAATTTAATGCAGCGGGGGTTTTTTATTGCTTTGGTCCAGTGGTAGAACATTATATGGCTATGGTAGATGTGCTATACTATAGCATAACGTAAATTAAAAGAACCAAATTGTCTTAAACCGTGCCCTCTCCCATTGCAAACGAAAAGCAAGTATAACACTGCAATAAGTATTTTATACTTAGGCCTATGCGCCAACCCCGTACGAAGGACGGGTACTCTGCTAGTGATGAATAAATTAAAATCGATCTTCATAGCCTCTGATCCCAGAGGAGTAGCCAGGTTTGGAGCCGAATTGCTTTAAAGCACCCCCCCCCCCCACAAACAATCATTGAGCATCAGTCGGTATTTGAAGATGATGATTTGTTAATAAGGGGTTAAAACACAACTTACGCTATAAGCCTACTACTCTATATTCTTCGTCATTCTGCACCATCCTTTAAGCTAAATAATTCACAAAACGTAAATTTTGTTCACTGTTTACTATAAATTAGCCCCCAAAACCATTTTAGTTTTGCTATTAAATACAAACAACGCTGTTACTACATTGTTAAATGACATTATTTATATTATATTTAAACACAAATTGATTTCATAGGTATTTTATAACTTGAATTCTTCTGTATTTCAATCCTGGTAGTAAAATATATAACACAATGATAAACACAAAGACATTCTAATAAATAGCATATTTGCTAATTGGGACTTTGGCAAAACTATCAGACAACATTTATATCTATCAAAATAAACACCTGTATCCTCGACTCCAGCTGATTATCTTTTTTGCCCTTGGGAGAAAAGGCACTACTTTAGCAACACAACCTCAATTTATAGTTATTAATGCAACTAGTGAGCAATTGCACTTTGCACTCGAGTTGCACTTTATATTTTTCCTACAGTTACCATAAAATAAATAAATTGGTAAAGAAACGTAAAATATTTTTACACAGAAGTGAACGTTTAATATGACATTTAATGATACAACAGTACAACAGCTGACCAGCTGATTTACAGCCAGTGCTGCCAACGTATTTCGCGCGCACACAACCTTGTCTGCATGTTACGCGCTCACTATTTCGTGCCTTCACGTGGCAAATCTGGAGTGAGTGAGACACAGTCATTAGAGTGAGACAATGTTAACATTGTCTCACTGATGAGCGAATTGGCCACTTTGCTTTCTCAAATCAGTGAGAGAACATGTACATTGTTAGGTAACTGTAGGATAAATATTGAAAACAGCCATTTTTGCTGCAGCATGATGGAAATCAGTCTTTACCCAGCTTTAAGAACAATTGTGTTATAAAAATAATTCAAAACAATTGTAATTCGGCACCGAATTACGATTTATTGACAAATATTATAATTGAAGACAGCAATTATTTAATAGTTTTAATAATATTTGCTTTTAAGTATAGGGGTGTGCGATGCAGAATTTCTTTCTCGATTCAATGAATAAAAAAAATTACAACACATGAACACAAAACCAACTCAACCATCATTCTCTACTCAAGATGACAACAATATAGATTTTTCATTGAATTCAAATTTTTATCTAAAACCCGTAACTGACACTGAAATAGTTTCAGTTATCAAATCTTTTAAAAACAAAAAATCATCCCGTTATGATGGCTTATCAGTCACCATTCTAAAAGAGGTAAAAGATTAACTAGGAGTACGCTCCGAAGTCACGTATGAGAATGAACGAAGACGATTTCATACATAAAAAAATGTTATTTAACAGTAGGCCTATCCACATTCAAATCAGTTGATCAGCTGCTCAAGCAGTTTTAACTTCATTAAGGCACTAACACCAAATCCATAATACTTTTTCACCAAAGCATTTTCTTTACTGTACTTTGGACTTGCGTCATTAAAGCAGGACCAGGAATCAGGGAGTTGGTATATGAAAGGGACCTTGTCCAAGGTCATTAGGCAGGTTTGAGAAAATTCACTAAGGAACTATGTATAATCACTGAATGTATTTCGATGTATTTAAAAGCAGCAATATTGCTCGAAAATGCTAAATAATATTAGGTTTGTCAATCTATAGAAACTCCAACAATTACTTTGTGATGTTTCATTGCTCTACAACATTCAGAAATAAATTATAACAGTGAGAACCATTATACATTGAGGGTAAGGACATCCCTTACATGACCCATAAGAATTATAAACATTTCAAAATACAAGAATTAAAACCTTTTAGGTGTTGCATGGGAGGAAACACTATTTTTGAACCATCAGATACTGTTGAATTTGTTGTGTGAATGATCAAACAAATGTTTACCCGAAACAGTTTTAAAACTTTATATATTTGGATTCACATTTTAATACATTTACCTACGACCGTTTATTAAAATAGCCGTTTCAGTTCACTTGTTAGAATTTAAAAGTTTCTCATAACATCATAGTTTTATCATAACACAGGTAACGGACCAATGAGGTTCAAGTCATGGTGGAAGGAAAATACATAGGTGTGCTATTCCCGTCATATTCTGACGTCACCCAGATTGCAAACGAAAAATCACCTGATTGTACAGTATTGCCATATTTAAATATATATATTTGTTTTTGATTTGATTGTTATTGTTTATATATTTTTGTTCTAAATGGTGAAATGGTGTTTGCAATCTTGGTGACTGTGACTTCAACAGCAAATTACGGGAATAGTACACCTTTGTATTTTCCTTCCACCATGACCATGACCATTCCTTCAACTATTGACATAGAGGAATTAAAATTGTAATGATTCGAACTAATCGGCTAATTTAATTGTCGAGTGGTGCTTAACAATCAGAGTTTAGTACAATGTTTCGTTCCATAATTTTCAGTGGCTATGATACTATAAACGAAAACATAACCTCTCTTCTTAGAAGTTATGAGTAGTGATTTTAAGTAATTATAACACTGTCGTAGGTAAAGTGGTGTACGCAACTCGCGTAAATAGTGTTAACGACACTCGTAGAAGTTTTTAAAGCCCTCGCCAAGGGCCGTACCTTAAATTTTCTACTCGTGACGTTAACACTGTATTTACGCATTCGTTACTACTGTAGCCCTACCACTTTACTTTACCATATCGTA